CCCCCCCTTATCATCACCCACCACCTTTGTCCATTCTACATGTGCCCCTAACAGTCATGTCTGATTGCACGTACATTTAATTTATTGTTATATGTCTTTGACAGTGTAATGTATTGTTTACTTTATTTTGATCTGTTTTAGTATGTTACTTGCACTATCCTTTATTAAAGAGTATCAACAGGCGCTACTTAATAGAATTACATAAAATTACTTTTTAAATGTTTTGATTATGAAAATATTTTTTTTACGTTGTTGTCGGTACATAAAACTTAAACTCTTTCCTATAGAGAGTTGATCTAATACTCTGTAGTTCATTAATAAATCCAAAGTAATGTCTTTACTAAAGACACAAGTACTAAAAACACAAGTTTCATGGATGAAGAAGTGTTCGTACATTTTTAGGTTGGGTGCGTTGTTGTGTTTTGTTACACTCCAAATAACTATAACCGCAGTTTGTGTACTTTTCTGTGTTACAAACAAGTATTCCTTACAGCTGAGAATTTATTAAATAGAAAATATATAGTGTAGTTGGTTGGAAATTTTTTAATGCTAAACACTTATTGTTGTCCTTATAATATAGAAAAAGCTGCAACTTGTCAATTCTTTTTGAATAATAGACTGTATTTATAAGACAAGCTTTTTATGAGTGTACCAAAAAATCAAATTAATAGAATCAAGATCACAAAATACTGACACTAGCTTTACTGGTTTGAATCTCATATTCCTCTAGTCTCTATAAGTTTCTCTTTTGTTTTTACCTTTATCCAAATTTGGATGGGATACATCTCATATTCCTCTAGTCTTACTATACTCCTTAATTTTCTCTTTTCTTTTACCTGTCCAAGTTACTCTTTCTTGATGATCCACTGTTGATGTGGCATGAAAATTGAAAATGATAAGGATTCTGCCTTATTTGTATTTCAGACTCTGTACTCACTCTTTCCTTGTTTTGCGATTCAGTTAAATATTTCCTAATTTGCAATAATTCTTTTTCGAAGACTTTTTCGCTTCTTTATAATTTATGATGTGGAAAGAAACGAGGAAAGTAGGACACAAACAAAACCAAGAGTGAGTAAAAATCACATTCTGCTTTTGAGAGTTGGGAGAAAAAATTGTAGACTTGTACTTCCTCCGTCTCAAATTGTCCGGTCTCAAATTGTCCGTCGTGTTTATTTCTTATACGTCCCTTAAAAAAATATTAAATAGGAAAGATTTTTGACTATTTTTTTACCCTTATTTATGTCTTAAGATATAATTTCTCTTCATTTAATACTTACATAATGAAGGTATTTGTAATCTTCCAGAACAATTAATATTAAGGATAAAATAGAAGAAAAAAATTAATTTACTCTTGAACTTTTAAAATGACAAATAATTTAAGATAACTATTTTTAAAAATCAAAACACATAATTTAAAAGGGAGGGAAGTAGTAATTGTTCTTTTTGTTCAAGTGAATTCTCTCATTGTTTTACCCGAGAGCGTAGGCATTTCTACCTGAGCTCAGTAAATCCTGTGCCAGTCACTATATTTTCTTATTTTATTTGGTCTATCTTAATTGAGATTTTTCGCATAAAATCGATTACAGAATTTTAGGTTGAGATTAACAATCTAGGATTTTACATGGCATCAACTTCAATGAAGTACGAGATAAAAAATTACAAGCTTGACGGTGTATAAAGTTCAACTTAAGGAAGATTAGAATGAAATCTTACTGGTACTACAAGGATTATGCAAAGCAATTAATGAGTATTTTCCAAAAATAAGAAATATGACAAAGTAAATCTACAATGAGAGCCTTGAGTGCAATTTTCATTAGCATTATTTCTGAGAAGGTTAATTGTAGGGGAGATTGCTGGTGATAAAACAACAAATATTGCGTGGAAAAATTGGAAGAGCTCTATTATGAAACTTGCTAATCAAACGTCCTTGAAGAAAAAACTGATTATTAGATTAATCAAATAAATTTATAAATTTATTGTACAACCCAGAATGAGGAAGATATGTACTTAGAAGATCATCTTGATGAATTTAATTCCATCATCATGGACATGAAGAATGTAGATATTGAGCTCGAAGATAATTATCAAGCTTTGATTGTATTATGTTCTTGTTTACTCTAAATACCAATTATTAGATTAATCATAAATTTATAAAAATGAGGCTTCAAATAAACTGATCCTTGTAAGTAAGATATTGACAAATTGAGCAGATAATGGTAAGAGAAAATAGTATGAAAACTGTTTGTATTTTGTATTCGGAAATATATTCAAAAAATTAAAATAATGTAAAATCAGAAATGCAGAAGAACCGAATTAATTTGACCCAAGTGACAACGAACGCAAAAAACAGTAGTAAATCACGCATACTGCTTTCTTTTCTGTTAAAACAATGCGGAAAGAAAAAAGAGAAATCAGAATTTTCGTAAGGAAAATCTAAGTGAATATGTTGTTATTTATAGCCAACATGTTGAGTTTAAACGAAGAGGTGCAACTCTTCAGAATGTCTGTTATGACTGTTCCCGTAAAACAGCCATTACGTAAATGGTTATTTACCCAAAATAAAATGGGAAATCAAAACGCGGAGGAAAAAGAACGGCTAATTTGGATTAAAATAATATTACGTTAATCTTAATATTAACAAATAAATTTGGTTCGAAAAATTAATCTATCAATTGATTATTTGACCGAATCCCAAGCCGAAGCCGAGCCGAGCGAGCGACGAAGACGCGAGGCTTGCCTTCTTCTTAACTCTTTAAGAGCTAGAAGAAGAGCAATTGTATATATACCCATCAAAAGTCTTTTCCTCCTCCAATATGGGACAATGTCCCTTTGTCAAGGAGAAAAAATCAAATTTTTATTTTTTCCTCTATTTTCCATTCACCCTCTTTTAAACTCTAAGAAGCTTAAACCCAATAATCCCCCACATGAATGAGGAATGGCTATATCATGAAAATATGCATGAAAACTGTGTGATTTACAAGTAAGGATTAATCGCATCTGGATAAGTAGGTTTCCCTTTGAACTTTCCGTAGTGAACTTCTGTCACATATACTCAATCAATCGGTAGATTTGATATTTTTGAACTGTCTAACTTTGGTGTATACCTAGACAACCATAAGTCACACAACTAACCCTTAACCATCTTTGGTTCTCATTATTGTGTTCGTTTCAGCTATGAACACCGCCTGGTTTCATAAGTGCGTAGAGAACTGACCTTGCAAAATTTTCCTTGAAGCGGCTAACACTTCTCACTTACATAGGTCATTCCTAAACGTGTCATCCCGTAAATACACTTTTTAATATACCCCGTATCAAATTTAGAAACCATCAAAAAGCCTTAATACTTTATCCTTTGTACTGAACATTGTCTCATCACGAGAATGGACCAAAAAATTTAGTTGACAATGTTGAACCGTCATTAATGACTTTCTTTGATCTCCTTTAACCTAGATCTTAGGATCTCTACTCTTCTAGGTAGAGTTACCGCCACAATGGCTTATCCTCGGCCACAGTCCCATTCCCCTCGATGATCTTTCAACAACCTCTCTAGTTAGGCCTTTTGTAAGTGGATCCAACACATTGTCGCTTGACTTTACGTAGTCAATTGTGATGATCTCCCTAGAGAATAGTTGCCTAACAGTTTTATATCTTCGTCGTATATGATGAGATTTACTGTTATACATAACGCTCACAGCCCTTCCAATTGCCGCTTGACAATCGCAATGTATACATATTGGTGCCAACGGTTTGGGCCAGAATAAAATATCTTCCAAGAAATTTCGGAGCCATTCAACTTCTTCACCGGTTTTATCTAAGGCTATAAATTCAGCCTCCATTGTAGAGTGGGCAATACATGTTTATTT